TCCATCCATCTCCCAAACCCATCCATCCATCCATCTCCCAAACCCGTCTATTTATCTGTCTATCCATCCATCTCCCAAACCCAAAACCCTAACCCATCCCCCAAAGCCAAAACCCTAACCCAAAACCCAACTAACCCTGTTCCTGTCCCAAGTTTTCCTTGGAGCATCTCCGTGGCTCATTCTGCCACGTCCAGGATGGTGTCCATGCTGTGGTAATGGTTTGGCTCTTCTCTCCCAGTATTTAGGGCAGCTCACGTCCATCCCGGGGTACCTGAACCCCTCAAGCCGCACGGAGATCCTGCACTTGATCGACAACGCCAAGGTGAGCGCTCAGCTCCTCTGGGGCTCCCCCCAGCAGGCACAGACCCAGGCTCACAGAGCCTCCTCTGCCCTGGGGAGGGGAAACACCCTGGGATGCTTTTCCCAGAGGAGCTGTGGCCCCATCCCTGGAGGTGTTCCAGGCCAGGCTGGATGGGGAGCAGCCTGGATAGTGGAATGGAGCTGGGTAATCCTTCAGCTCCTTCCAAGCCCAGCCATTCCATGACTAAATCCCTGTGAATCCTGGTGTTGCAGAGAGCCCACCAGCTCCCGGGGCAGCTGACCCCAGAGCATGACGCTGTCATCAGCCTCTCTGCCTACAACATCAAGCTGGTGTGGAGGGACGGGGAGGATCTGATCCTCAGGGTGCCCATCCACGACATCGCCTCCGTCTCCTACATCCGGGACGACTCCGCACACCTGGTGGTGCTCAAGACAGGTGAGCTGTGCCCATGGGGCTGGGATTGTCCCCTGGGAGCCACCTGGGACTGTGGGAGATGTCCCTGCCTGTGGCAGGGGGTGGGGCTGGGGGTCTTCAAGGTCTCTTCAACCCAGAGCATCCCATGAGGGTTCCATGACACCTCAGTCCCTGTCCTGTGCGTGTCACACCTGCATGGTTTGGGGAGCTGGGAGCCCCCTGAACCAACTGCAGCAGGGGAGGGCTGAGCCAGGGATTTATCTGAGTACAGACCTCCTGGATGGACTGTGGAATAAAAGAATAAACTTCTCAGGGGCTGGAAATCTGGTGATGGAATTCTGAGCTGTGAAAACAGCTGGACAGCTGTCAAACCCAGCTCCAAACTGGAGGCTTTTCATCCCATTCTCCTGCTTCAGGGCCCTTCCTCACCTGCAGGACTCCTTCCCACCCCCTCCCTGGCCTCACCTGTGCTCTCCCCTCAGCTCAGGATCCCGGCATCTCGCCCAGCCAGAGCCTGTGTGCCGAGGGCTCCAAGGCGCTGACGTCGGGCTCGCTGTCGGAGAGCGCAGGGGGGCCCCTGGAGTGCTGCTGCCTGGTGGTGCTGGCCACAGAGAACAAGGTAGGGATGGCCCTCACTGCTCCATGGAGCCCTGGGAGCACCCAGCCTGGGCTCAGAGTCACTGGGATTGCTGGGAGGTTCTGGCTCTCGGGTCATGGTGATGGTGGAGCCACAAAATGCACAGCAGCCAAGTCCTGTGGTGTGTCTGGATCCTTCCCTGCTCTCACACCTCGTGGGACACAGATTTAGGGATGCCAGGTGTGTTTGGGCATTGCTGGAGCACATGGAGAAGGACTCCTGATCCCTGTGCCAGCCCTGGGACACAGAAGGGTCTCCAGAAGCATTTCCCTTGTCCCTGTCATCCAGAACCTCCTGCAGCAGCACAGAATCCATGAGGACAATCCCACAATGGGCATTTGCTGATTGGGGTGTTTTCCCTGTGCTGACCTGGGAATTTGTTTCATCAGTGTCTGCATCCAGGGATTCCAGCCTCAGCCTCTGATCTGCACTGAGGGTGGAGCTTCACTGCCCTCATTCCCAGCTCTGGCATTCCTCTGGGATGAGCCAAAATCCCAGGGAGCTGCATGGGGGAGCCCCACCACACAACGTGGGGGCTCCAGGGTTGGTGCTGGAGCATCCCAGCTCCTGCTGCTGGGTGGGGATGCTGGGAGGGTGATAGACCTGGGCTCTGTGCCCTCCCTGTCCTCCTGGGGACCCAGCACCCATCCCACAGAGGGAGAGGGGGTGTCCCTGCCTGGGCTCTGCCACAGCTCCCTGTTGTTCCAGGTGGGTGCTGAGGAGCTGTGCTCCCTGCTCAGCCAAGTCTTCCAGATCGTTTACACCGAGTCCACCATCGACTTCCTGGACCGCGCCATCTTCGACGGGGCCTCGACACCGACCCGGCACCTGTCCCTGCACAGCGGTGCGTGTGTCCTGGGTGGGCTGCTCCTGCCCCTCAGCACCCTCTGGGGTCACACAGAGCCATAACTGGGAGTGACTGGGGTTGGGAGAGCCTCAGGAACCCCCTGAGCCCACCCAGCACCTGTCCCTGCACAGCGGTGCGTGTGCCCTGTGTGGCGTGCTCCTGTTTCCCAGCACCCTCTGGGGTCATACACAACCACAGCTGGGAGTGGTGGGATTGGGAGAGCCTCAGGAACCCCCCAGCACCCCTCTAGGGCCATACACAGCCACAGCAGGGAGTGACTGTGGTTGGGAAAGCCTCAGGAACCCCCCAGCACCTGTCCCTGCACAGCGGTGCGTGTGTCCTGGGTGGGGTGTTCCTGCCCCCCAGCACCCTCTGGGGTCACACAGAGTCACAGCTGAGAGGGACTGGGGTTGGGAAAGCCTCAGGAACCCCCCAGCACCCCTCTAGGGCCATACACAACCACAGCTGGGAATGGTTGGGGTTGGGAAAGCCTCAGGAACCCCCTGAGCCCACCCTGCACCTGTCCCTGCACAGCGGTGCGTGTGCCCTGTGTGAGGTGCTCCTGCCCCCCAGCACCCTCTGGGGTCACACAGAGTCACAACTGGGAGGGACTGTGGTTGGGAAAGCCTCAGGAACCCCCAAGCCCACCCAGCCCCTAGCCCTGCCAAGGCCCCCCACTGCCCATGTCCCAGGTGCCACATCCACAGGGTGGGGACTCCCCCCGTCCCTGGGCATCCTGTTCCAGTGCCTGACCACCCTTTCCATGCAGGAATCTTTCTGAGATCCACCCTGAACCTCCCCTGGCACAACCTGAGGCCATTTCCTCTTACCTGGTCACTCATTCCTGGCCTCCTCCCCTCCAGCCATGTCAGGAATCACTTTGTGTCTCTCCTGGCTTGGGAAGACACCGAGTTCATGCCTTTCACACTCCATCTCCCACATTTTCCCCTGCAGATGACTCTTCCACCAAGGTGGACGTGAAGGAGCCCTTCGAGGCGGATGCCAGCACTTTGTGAGTGATCCCTGGCCCCTGGAGCTGGGATTAACCCGGATCTGCTGCCCTCAGCACACCGGGGAGCTCAGCTGAGCCTGGCCAGGCCCGGGGGGTTGGCACAGATCCTGGGCCTGGATTGTTCTGCCCTCAGCATTCCAGGAGACACATCCCTGTGTCAGCACAGTGCAGGGTCAGCAGCTGCAGCTGGGAGCAGGGTTTTCCCCAAAACTGGTTATTTGGGAAGCTTCTCCCTCCTGGAAACATGGGCAGTGTTTGTGGGACGAAATCCTCACACACAAACCAGTGGTTAACATAGAGGGATGCTCTGGGAATAGCCAACACAGAGGGATACTGCAGGAATGTTTAACATGGAGGAATTGGGAACCTCATTGAAAATTGCACCTTTAAGCCCAAGATAGGGAGGGTGGGGACTTTTCCCTGTGTTGCTCCTAAGGAGGAGGCAGCCAGAGGGATAATTCCCCACAGAGGGCTTTGCTGTCACTGTCACCAAAGCAGTGTTCAGTTCTCCACCAGTCTTGGGGTGCCCTCAGGAGCTGGGGGCTCCCAGAACCACAGAATAACCTGGGCTGGGAGGCACCCCAAGGATCCTGGCCCTGCCAAGCCCCCCAGCAGTGCCTGCCCAGGGATCCCTGGAGAGCTGACCCTGCTGCTGGGGTGTCAGTTCCTTTGCAGACACGCTGGAAGCAGGGGACACGTCCCCGTCCTCCTTCTCTGCGCGCCCGTCCCCACACGTCACCACGGCCAGCGAGAGCGAGCTCAGCACCACGGCCACCGAGCTGCTCCAGGACTACATGATGACGGTGGGAGCTGGGACTGGGCTCTGGGATCGGGATTTGGGATTGGGAACAGGGCTGGAGGAGTAGCTCGTCCTCATCCTTCCCAGCCAGGCTGGGCTTGGAGGATCTGATCCTGGGCTCGTGTCATGGAACCATGGGATGGTTTGGGGGGAAAAGGGGCTGTGAGGATGATCCCATCCCATCCTTGCCATGGCAGGGACACCTT